ATGCCCTATGTCGGGGGATGGTGAAAGTAGTGCCTGACTTTGGTATTAAAGGTAGATTATCATCAAAATCAAGAGGAGGTGGAAAATCATCATCCAGCCCCTGAGTACCCAAAGGAATGGTAAAAATGTGTTTTGAAGACAGGGTGGTAGGCTGAACAGGATAGGCAGAAAGAGGAGGAGGGGGCAGCGGACCAGCTGCCGCAGCCATCCAGCTCTTTTCAAACAAAGGGATTAACTCCTGTATTTCAGATCGAATGAGCTCTTTTATCTTGGCTTGGGCAGAAACATCAGGAGAGGGATCAATTCTTTCCTCTCCTGAGGACTCCTCCTGATCATCTTTACTTGGGGAAAGAGGTAGAGATCTTGGAGGGTTTTTATCATTTTTCCTATCAGAATCACCCCTCTCCGAGTCCGACCGTAAAAGAGAGAGAGCCTGAGTAACAGCACTACAAATTGATCAAATTTTCAAATCAATGATATCTCCTTGTTGATGGGCAGTGTGCAAAGCTTTAACAACTTGTTGCCAGCTATGAAGATTTAGCTGTACCTGAGGTTGAGATTGAAACCAGTAACAGTGTTTCTGCACTAAAGCAAACAACTGCTTTAGGGTTCTTTCTCTTACTTCAATCCCCACCGAGTTTAACAAACCTTGAATTAACTTTTGATATTCATGCTCGGCAACTGAGGGAGTATTTCCCATATTTCCCGAGAGTCCCCTGTTGGATGCCACTTACCAATAGCCAAAGGGGCACCTGATCAGTCCTCCCATCCTGAAATGATGCAGACTCCATTCAGGGTTCAAGACCCTCCAGGGTTCAATACCCTGCTCGTTGCGCCACTTGCCATGGCCCGTTTGCAGGACAGGAGATAAACACAGAACACAAAAAGACACGCGGACACACAAAGACGGTTACAAGACTGCGGTGCAGAATGCACCAGTCGTTTTATTTTTATACCCCCAAAATCAAAGTTACTTCCTTATACGTGCCCACCCAAGCATGGCAGCGATAGCCATAAATTCCGGAACATGTAGCTCAAGGACACAGATGTCTCCTGACTCAATGTTTCCAGGCAGTTGCTCGAGGCGCCAGGCATAGATCACAGACCAAGATTAGCAAGGTTGGGCAAGGCCACCACAGGGGGCATTTTTCATCCCCAGTTCCTCTTAGGCTGATCCCCTGCAGCTGTGCTTGGCTTAGGTCACCCCTCCCTTGAGGGGTGTTAACCGTCATTGACTAACCAGCCATCTTATGAGGCTAAGCAGCAATCAAGTGAACAATGTGCTTATTGTGTGGCCTCCAGGCCTCCACTTATCGTGGGGCTGGGCAGCTGTTGCCTCAATGCAGAAACTCAGGTCTATTGTTATGCCTCTAGGCAGCAACTGTATTTGTCACAAGGGCCTTGTCTGGAACATATTACTTTCAAATGCTCTGGGCAGAACACGTACAGTACTCACTAAATTTAATTCTTAAACTAGGAAAATATATGTCAGTCCCCTACACTGGTGTTCAATGGCCATGTTGTTTCTAGATGTCTGAATCTCTAGCATTACTAGGGAACTTTTCCTTAGTAAACCCCTCAAATAGATTTTTCATGATTTTAGCTCTTTCTTCTTCTCCCTCAGGGATACCTATAATTCATATATTAGTTTATTTCATATAGTCCCATATCTCTCTCAGTGATTTCTCAGTCTTATTTATTTTCTTCTCTGCCTCTTTAAATGACTGGGTTAGCTTGAGAGTCTTGTCTTCAAGTTCTGAGATTCTTTCTCCTCCTTGGCTTAATCCACTGTTAAAGCTCTCTGCTGTTTTGAAGTTCCCTAAATCAGCAGTCCCTAACCTTTTTGCCACCAGGGACTGGTTTCATGTAAGACAATTTTTCCACAGATGGGTGGAGAGGTGGAGGCAGAGCTCAGGTGGTGATGAAGGGGTTCTAAGCAAACTGACATTTGTTTCTCCAGAACCTGTGACCACTGTAGTTGTCTCAGCATAAAGGATTCTCTAAGCCTAGGCTTGCTGTGAGCCTCACAAGGGATTCAAGGTTGATGTGGCCTTCTGGCCCGGATGGACCTAAGGAAGATCTAATAAGGGTACTGGGGCTGTGTAAGAATGGTGGCCAGGAACCTGAGTCCAGATGACTGCTTTAGTGGCCCTAATGGGTGTGTCTCCCAGAAGGTCTCAGCACAGGTGGGATGGATCTCCAACTGCAGCAAGAGAAGCCAGAGTTGAGACTGGACCCTTTTGGGAACTGCTGTAGAAAGGAGACTGGTAAACCCATATCTTTGGCTCATGGGCATGCATCCCCCAGCAGATCCCTATACAAATGGGCTCGTTTCTCAATTGGAGTAGAAGAGGCCAGAGTTGAGACTAGGTCCCCTTAGGTTCTATTGTGATATGTAGGCTGGCATGCCTTTCACTTTGGCTCAGAAAGGTGCATGTCTCACCTCATAGCAAGTACCTGCACAGATGGGATAGTTTCCCCAACTATAGCAGGAGGTGTTGGAGCAGAGATTGGGCCCCCATGGGATCTTCTGTGAGGCAGAGGTTGGAGATCCTAAATCTCAGCTCAGAGGGGTGTATGTTACCCAGCAAGTTCCTGCACAGATAGGATAGTTCCCCAACTGCAGCATGAGTGGCCAGATATGAGATGTGTTCCCCTCAGCATCTGTGTTGGGCTAGAGGTTAGAGAACTGAATTTCTTTGGCTCAAAGGGCATATGTCTCCCAGGAGGACCCTGGACATATGGAATAATTCCCTGATTGTATCAGAAGGGACTGGAGCTGAGACTGGGCCCCTTTGGGATCTCCTGTGGGATGGAGGCTGGAAAACCAATTTAATTGGCCTAGCAGGTCTCAAGACACAGATGGGAAAGCTCCTTGACTAGAGAGGGCTGGAGCTGAGATGGGGCCCCCTCAGGATCTACTGTGAGATAGAGGTTGGTGAGTCCATCAGGGAGGCTTAGGCTCCTGGGCTGAGATATGGGTGAGTGTCCTTCTCAGTTCCTGTCTGAACAATGTAGAGCCACAGGGCAACTTTCAAGTTCATTGCCAAGACAGATGTCAGCAGGGAGACAAGCCTTTTTGACAATGTACTAGTGTGTGTGATTCCTTCTGCGTGTCTTGGCAGATGGTTTTGGTTGCAAGCTCAAGGCCAAATAGGGCTGTAGCTTAGCCCCTCAGGGGACTAGGCCATTTCCTGGCATGAACCCAGAAGCAAGCTTGGTAGATCAGATGACTCTTCTAGATCTTTGGCTCCACTAGGATTAAACAAACTCCTACCTAAATCCTGAGGCTCCTACAGAGAAACTTGACTGTGAATAGGTGAAGAATTTTTTGTTTTGTTAGGGGGATATAAGTGTATTACTTTCTATTATGCCATTCTAGTGATGTCACCCTCCATATTTTTAATTACCATCACAATAAGTATCTGTATAGATAATATTACCCTAATCTCCAGATTTGTATTTTTAACTGCCTAATTGCTATTCCATAGTTATCTCAAACTCAATTTATCTAAAATTGGATTTATTATTTTATCCAATCCTGCTATGCTTTCTGTTTTATATCACTGCAGGTGTTACCTAGCAGAAACTGGTGGGTTATTTTCGACTCCTTCACACCTCATGTTTAACCATCAACAAAGCTAACTTACTTTCTCTTTTTCTTTGCTTTTCTGAATCATTGCAATAGTGATTACTCTCTCCCACACTCCCTATTTCATGTTTTTTTTTTTTTTTTGAAATTTAAATTCAAGCCTATTATTTCTCTATTAAAAACTCTTCATTAGCTCCCCATTGTCTACAAGATGTAGTTCAATATTTTAGTCACTAGAGTCTTTGATGATTTGACTTCTTTATCATCTGGCCTCTTCCCACCTCTCCAACTTTCACTCTTGACCTCTTCCTCATTGTCATTATGTCATTGTCATTATGTTCTAATGATGTATAATTTATTTTAGCTCCAATATTTCCCTTATTTTTGATGAACTAATTCTTCTATTTAAAATGTCCTTCCACCTTTCTGCTTCGTAAACTGCTAATCGCCTACTCAGAAGTCTTTCATAAAGCTTTATTCCCTCTTATTTCACATTGAAAGGATAATTATTTCCTTTGTTCTGTTTTTTCATACTTATGTTCACGTATTACAGTCTTGATTTGTTACTTGTTTCTTCCCATGAAATAAAATCTCCTTGTCATCAGGTGCCTTAATTAATCTTTGATACTCCAGAGTTTAATGTATGCATTGGCATACAAGTAGAAACTCTGAAAGAAATGAACTTGCATGGACATTCTTAGAATCAAGAAACCTTATAGTATTTTATAACAATCAGTGAAACATCTTGAGAAACAAGGCAGAAAACAAACAAAAACAACAGTACATTTTTAAGAGACAGCTACATGTACTTACTGGCATAATTAATATCGCTTAGCAAGGATTTATGAAGTAATATTCTATATTATTAGAAGAGAGAGTGAACTGAATTCAGATCAGATACCCTGGAAATTTGCCTTATTGTGGAAAGAAAGTCTATTTGTTTTGAAAAGCAATTGAATAAATGATCTGAACATTGATAAAAAGTAAAAAGCAAGGGGAAAAGGGGGGAAGAAAGCAGAGATTTTCAGGGCAGAAAAGGAAGAGAAGTCAAAGAACAAGAACAAAGGGAATATGAATTGGAGGTCTTTTGATTCATACTTTGTTGAGGTACAAGCTAGTTCACGTAGAAGTCAGAATGGGAACTATGCTTTTCACTTGTAGGGACATAAATTATTTAAAGTTTTCCTGTGAATTACACAACATCACACTCCAAGTTTTGATAGCCTGCACTCTAGCAATGATCACAAATCATTTTTATGGTTTCATTAAAAGCTCTGTTGTGGGCAGTCATTCAGAGTACCTAAATAACAAATTTTTCCTTGTAATAATCTTATATTTAAATAACAAAAAGCTTTCCTCTTGGAGCCTAGAAAAATGTGTGCAGAGAAATTTCTTGAATACTGAGGAGAAAAATCCAATTTGTTTTGTATTTTATTTTGCACAAAATCTGTGGGCTTTGGAGCAACTTTGTTACACAGAGATATTATTAGGCCCCATATCAGGCATTGGCACCAGCAAAATTCTCACATTTCTAAGGTTCTAATAATTGCTCATAACTTCATCAGCAACAGATGTAACAGTATCTTCACGTCTTTGACCCTGGAAAAAAATTAACCTCTTACAAATCATGTTTCTTAAAATTATACAAGTAATGGATAACTCTTTTAAAATATAAACAATACTGATGTTTATAGAGTAAAATCTTAAAGTGCCATTTGCCCTATTTCTCTCCCATTCCCTCTTCAATCTACTTTCTTAATTCCTACTGGATCACTTGTAATTTTTGGTATACTTCCATACTTTTGTAATATAAATATTCAAGATCATCTTCAAAAATAAAAAAAATGCCAGCACCCCAAAAGTCACCCTACCCTCTTATGACATTTCCCAACTCTTAGCTGTTCCTTCCCTCCAAGGCAACTGTCATTTTGACTTTTAGGCAATCAATTCTATCTTTTCTGTCTAGTTTTATCAACTAAGCTTACATTCCTAAACAATATAATTTAGCTTTAGTTTTGCCTGGTTTCCAACTTCTTATGAATGGTATAAAAAAGTATGCATTCTTTTGAGTCTCCCTTTTTGTAGTTTACATAATATGTGTAAGGTTCATCTATGTTATTAAGTGTAGGTATAGTTAATTTTAATTGCTACATAGAATTTTATTAAGAATAATATACTTCAAATTATTCACTACTCACCCATCAGTGTTCTTTCCACTTTGGAGCTCTTATGAATAATACTGCTATATGTATTTTTGGAAGTTTATGTTGGTATATATGTGCAAACATTTATGTTGAGTTTATACCAGGGACTTAAATTACTGATCATAGGATATGCACATCTTAATATTTAGTAGATAATACCCAAGGTTTTAAAGTTACAGTAATTTATATTGCAACCAGGAGAGATTTTATTATTTACAGTCTTTACTACCACTTGAAATTGTCAGTATTTTGAAATTTCATCATTCTAATATGCATTTAAAAAGATCTCATAGTTTTAATTAATCTTAATGTTATTATATGGAAATTAATGAATTTATATCTGACATTTTATGTGTTTTCTATATGTCCTATGTGTTTTATGTTCTTCCTTTATCTGTTTTTTAAAAATATACTTTACATATGTTACTTTAATTCCATTGTTGATTTTTTAGCTATCATTTTTTTAGTTTTCTTAGTCATGAAAAATGCATCTTAATTTATCACAATCTACTTCAGATGAATACAAATTTAATTCTAGGAAAATACAGCAACTTTATTCCCATATAACTCTATTCTCTTCTTCTTTCTTTATATATTATTGTCATACATACATATGTATATATATATATATACACACACACATATATACATCTATATATGTTATATAACAATATGGTGTTACAATTATTTTTATAATTTTCTTTTAAAATTTAGGGGAAAATATTTACCTATAGAGCAGAGGTTAGCAAACTATGACACATGAACCAAATCTGGCTCACTGCCTGTTTTTGTAAATAAAGTTTTATGAGAACACAGCCATATCCATTAATTTATGTATTGTCTATGGATGTTCATGCTAAAAGGTGGAGTTGAGTAGTTCTGACAGATGGAATTAATGTTACTAATGAAATGACCTTAAATTAAGGAGATTACCCTGGATTAGCCAAATGCAATTTATGTAATTATCTTTTAAATCATTTAAGAAAACACAAAAGATGTATTTATACTGATTTTTATGATCACCTACATAATTACTTTTATCATATTATTTATTCATGTGCATTTGAATTTCATATGCTATCACTTCCTTTCAGTCTAAAGAACTTGCTTTTGCATTTCTTGTAAAGTATTTCTGCTAGCAACACATTCTCTGTCTTGGCTCATCTGTGTATGTCTCTATTTCACCTTCATTTTTGAAGGGTAGCTTTTTAAAGGATATAGAATTCCTGATTGACTGTTTTCTCCCCAGCACTTTAATGTGCTATCCCATTGCCTCCTGGCCTCCATTGTTTTGGATGAGAGCCAGCTGTGGATCTTATTGTGCGTGGCTCCTTTGTACATGAAGAGTGATTTTTTTCTTGCTGCTTTAGAGATTTTCTCTTTTTTATAAGTTTGATGCTGAGGTGTCTAGAAGTGGGTCTCTTCTGTTTAACCCATTTAAAGATTGAGCTTCTTGGATATTTTAAATAGTATTTTCTATTAGATTAGGAAAAGTTTTGGCCAGTATCCTGTCCGTCCTATTTTTTTCTCTATTTTCCCCCTTATTCTTTGCGCTAAATAATATTTTTGTTGTCTTCATGTTTGCTGATCTTTCTTCTTTTGTCAGCTCAAATCTGCTCTTGAGCCCCTCTAGTTAATTTTTCATTTTGGTTACTGTCTTGTTCAACTCTAGAATTTCCATTTGGTTTTTTATAATTTCCATCTCTTTTATTGATATTCTTATTTGATGTCATTATTGTCATACTTTAATTCTTCAAATATATTTCCTTTAGTTTTCTGAAGTCTTTCTTTGTTAAGTCCAACATTTGTCCTCCCCTCCCCAAAAATACTCGGATTTATCCATTTAGTGCTCTTTTTCAATTGTATGGGTCACTATTTTCTGTTCTTTGGATATGTTTGTTGCTGAATACTGTGGACATTTTAGGTGATTTGGAGTAGCAACTTTAGATTCTGACCGTCTCATCTCTCAGGAGTAGTGGTTATTGCTGTCTTTTTAGTGACTTGCTTGTGCTAGTTATGTGGAGTCTGTTTCCCTTGCAGTTTGTAGTTTCTGATATGTCTACTCATTTTTTCATTTTTTAAATTATTGCATTTATTTTTAAGACTGATTTCCTGGGGTTTTCCACTGGCTCAGCATAAGTGGTCAGCCAATGATTAGTTAGAGGTTGTGCCTAAACGTCTTATCATCTAAACTACTGTGTTTCCCTGAAAATAAGACAGGGTCTTATATTTGTTTTTCCTCAAGAAGACATCCTAGGGCTTATTTTCAGGGGATGTGTTATTTTTTTAAAGTATGGTACAACAATCTACAATTATTCAAATATAGTTAAGTTGTCTTCTTCTGGAACATCATCATAACTCTCCAAACCCTGAATTCCATCCTGAATTTCTTGCGGCTCTATTTCCTTTAGAACCATTGGCCTCAATCTCTCATGTCGAGCAATAGAGCTCTCATTGAATGAGCAGGGCTGGCTTATTTATCAGAGATCCAGTGAGCATTGGGTCCAATCTGCACAGTGGAGCAGAAATGATCTGTAGGAGACTTTTTGCAGAAGCTTTTCTCCTATCCCCTGGTGTTTGTGGAGGGTGAGAGAGGCCCACAGTGCTGAGTAAAATGACAGCCACAGCTTTCCTTCTTCCCCCTGGGGACACACAATACCTAAAGCAGAGCATCTGGCTCGTCACTTCACTGAGGAGACTTTCCCCTGAAAGCCTCAGCTTGCAGCACACACAGGATGGCCAAACCTGACAGGGGGAGGTGACCTTGTTGGTGGGGCTGCCCGCACCTTTCTGGTTACCTCTGGGACAGTAGTTGTCACAATGGGGCAGTTGAGAAGGGTTTGACATCTTCTTTACCGCTCCGCAACAAAATGCATGGGTTGTGCAGATACGCTGCACAGCCACGCCCATTACTAGGTCTTATTTTGGGGGTAGGGCTTATATTGCGCAAATGCTTAGAAATCCTGCTAGGGCTTATTTTATGGGTAGGTCTTATTTTTGGGGAAACATGGTATGTCCCACAAAACTCTTTGTTAAAATCTTAATCCCTAGTATCTCAGAATGTGATTATATTTGAAGATAGGGTTTTTAAAGTTGTAATGAAATTATAATGAGGTCATTAGGATAGTCCCTAATCTAATGACTGGTGTCCTTATAAGAGCTTAGGACATAGATACATAATGAAGAAAGACCACGTGAAGACACAAGGAGAAGACAGTCATCTGAAAGCCAAGAAGAGAGGCCTCAGAAGAAACTAACCTTTTATACATCTTGAACTTGGACTTCTAGCCTCCAGGATTGTGAGAAAATAAATCTGTTGTTTAAGCCACATGGTTTGTGGTACTTTCTTATGGCAACTCTAGCAAAGTATACATTTTCAGTCAGCAAGATTTCTACCCTTTCCCAATAAATCAGTGTAGCTTAAGCAATGTATTGAAAGTTTAGGCCATTTATAAGTCTGCCCCAGCTTTTACTTCAGTTTGTCAAGGCCTCTTGTACAGCCAGGGATGAGTAGCTCACTAGGGCCTTTTCCAGTCTCCTTAACATGTGTGTAGCTTTGCATATATTTATATTCTTCCATACCCAAAGGGATAAGTAGGATATTATCAAGGCCCACTGTGGCTGTCTTGCTATCTGAATTTCTCTGTTGACTTTCTGGTAGGTTGCCAGTCAATTTCTTGCCCCAACAAATATTGTGATCTTAGTTAGGCTAGGTGTGACAGTGGCTTTATCTATTTGTTTGTCACCTAGAACACTATTGTTTTAATAATATTCCTGGTCATGGAACTTACTATGCTCTGTTCCAAATCAAATTAGCCCTCTCAAGCAGTAAGGCTGCCTGTCCTCACAATCTGACCCATGATAGTAAAGGTATGCATAATGGAACCTGGGTAGTAGGAATGGGAGCAGCCCCAAGTTAACATGGCATAGATATCCACTGTTCTTACTAAGATCCAGTTTTCTTAAATAAACAATTCTCGCTTTGTTGTAAGCTTTGGTAAACTTTCTGAATTGTTAACAGGCTGTTTATTGACAATTTTGTTTAGTTTTATAATTTCTTTTTACGGAGAGTTGCCATGTCCTCAATTCAGCCATTCTGGAAGTCTTAGTCTCATGGTTGCTTCTGTATTTCAGTTAGTTGCTGCTTAGCAACTATGTAAACTATGTAAAATAATCTTTGCCTTATCTTCTTATTCTGTTTTATTTTGCTTCATAATATTTTTCACTTCTTGACATTATTTTATATATTTATTTGTTTACTGTCTTTCTTCCTACTGAAATGCAAACTCCCTGACAGTAGGGACATTGTCCTGTTAGTCATTGTATCCTTTGTATCTATTATAATGCCTTGCAAATAGTAGACCCTCCATAAATATTTGAGAAAGAATGATTGTTAGATATATAGTTTTTAAAGCTTATAAGAAAATAATCATTCTCATAAACATTTGCTATATTGTGAATTGTTACAAAATTTTGGGATGTTATTAAACTTGACCCTTTAATTACACTTCCAGGAATCAACCACCTACAGAAATAGTTATCTTGTATGCAAAAATATTTGTATCGGAATGTTCACTGCATCACTGTTTATAATTTAGAAAAAAACTGGAAAAAAGCGAAATATGTAGTAATAAGGGAATGTTAAATATTAAGAAAACAATGAAACTATTAAAAGGCATTATTTAGATGGGTTTTATAATGGAAACATGTTTATGATAGTTGCAAAAAATGCAAGTGACAAAGCAATGTGAATATGATCACACAATTAGTTAAAAAGAAAACTATGTGTGTGTTGCTCTTTTTTAATGCAGATTTGGATGTGTGGGTATGATGAGGACTGTATTAAAGGAGCAATCACTTTCTACTCTATAATAACTTTTTTTTACTTTTAATTTACAGTTTCATGTATTGCTTTTGTAATTTTATGTTTTCTATTTATAAAATAAAAAAAGTAAAAAAATAAAGGAATTATCACATATTCCATTTTTATTAGTTCCAAACATATTGTATCAGTGCACTTCATCTCCTCATAGAGTATGCTTGCTAGAAATCAACACCTCTTGTTTTACCAGAGAGTAGATAACCACTTACCAAGTTCATACAGCTGAATATCGAATATATAAGTGCAATAACACATTCCAAGGGGTAGAAGGTCAGCAAAAGACGTGAAACTTCCCTCCCAAGTTTCTGTAACCAAAAAACACCAAGAAATCTTCCATTATTATCTTTAGTAAGGGAAATGCGTTCACAGAAGGAGCTCCTAGTATGACAGTCAAGGAAAAGAAGGAAAATAAGAATAGTTGACTCTTTCATCATTTGATTTCCCTAGGCATTTCTACCCCTTTGCCTTCTGCTTTATTTTTCCTAGCTTTCATTTCCCCAATTCATTGACTTGAAACAATTATGTGCTTAATAACTTAAGTCCTCCCTCCCTATTTTCTGCCCCCAGAATTATAATTGAAGATTTCTTGATTGAATCTCCAGCGTAACTGGAGAATTTCATTAAAATTTATAGGGAAAACCTGGTCTGTGTTTATTTAAATCATCATTCATTACACATAATCTATTTTGAGGTATTATGGCACTTTCTGTCATTGTCTCACTGTCCTCCAGGCTTTTGTTCTTCATGCTTGGATTCTTTCCACTGATGCATGTATGGAGAGAAAGTGTGTAGGGAAGGAGCAGGGAGTTTGTACCTCACCTACAACCACTCTTCCATTCAATATTGTAATTATTAATTGTTTTCTGTTGGTCAAACAAGGAGGAGCTCCACTTCAATCTGTCCTTATTTTAAATGTGAGATTTTCACAAGCATTGCTAAAGCCTTTGCAGCGCTAATATCCTGTGATTCTGCATTTAAAGCCAACATAATTTGAATAAATCTACTGTGTTATTAGTAAAGATATTCACATTTACTGGAGAATGCTACTTTCTTAGGAAGAAATATCATTATTTCTATTACTAAGAATGTGACTGGATATTCAGTTAAATGGAAGCAAGACAGGTTTATATATATTTAGCATTTTCAGATTTAAATCAAAATTCACATAAGATGCAAAGATAGGCTGTGTATGAAAAGCTCTATGTTAAAACAGAAATTACTAGGTGTCTACGATTTGAACTATGTAATGTGTCAACAGCAGAATTCTTTTGTTGATTTTGAGAATGGTTATATGGTCCAGGATTATACTTTTCTTGTACTAAAAGAATCATTAGTGACCTTGTGCCTCACCAATGAAGCCTTCAAGTTTTTTACTTGCTTTATTTTAATTTAGCAAGTCAAAAATTCAAACATGCTATTAATATTTACTTAAAAAAAATCACACCTTAGAATTAGTTTTGAATTAAAACTTTCAATCACTCAGAGCTCATTACTAAAAGAATTTTGCAAGGACCAGTAAAAGCCACATCTTACCTCCTAAGGCTTCAAAACCATTGAAAAGAATAATTTTGAAATTAAAATGTTTCTATAGAATTGGCCACTTACCGCTTGTCCATAATTCCTATATGACACAGTGTTAAAAGACGACAACTCAATTATTGTTAGAATTATGGCAATAATTGTGATAACCATGCAGAAGATGTTTAGGGCCATAGCACTTATAATCTGAAAAGGAGACATAGAGTAAATTTATTATATTCAGAATAAACACTTTTGTTAAATAGTTTGTATTGCTGAAGAAAGTCATCGAGTGAAAATTTTAATCTAGTTTTTCTTAAGCTTTAGAAGTGTTTGTGTGTTTGTCATTAATGTAAAATATTCTGGTTTACATGAAACCCAGTTATTCTGGAGAAAACATTAAAATTATCAACAATAAGCATCAATCTTCCACGTGGGCTCAAAAATACTGTATTTTACAATTTTATGAGTCAATTGGAACCTCTAAGATATGATTTAAACAAAAGGTATTGCACTGCAAGGAGAAAAATAAAAAAACCTATAAGATATGATTTGAATAAAAGGAAACAAAAAAGGAAAGAAGAGGGAAAATGACTGCTTGTAGAACTATATCCAAATAGGAGTTTATAAAGTTTAATTCTGGGTTTTCTTTATCTAAGGAAATCTCTCAATGTATTTGGACATAAGTTTTTTTATGTGTAAACTTATGAGATCAGACAATTTAATTTCTAATATATTTTAGCTCTAAGATCCTACAGGGTTTTTATTCCCAATATCTTTCCACCTGTACCATAGATGCATCTTTATTCTGGACAAATCCCCTACTTTGTTAAAAGGTACAATTCTGTTCTCAAACTGGATAGTTCAGGGAATGAAGTTTTACAGCAATATAATGTCTATATATAAAGGCATTAAGTCCTATTAAAATTTTTCTAATCATAAAGGTTATACAATGTTAAAAGGTAGAACACCAAACAAAGCAAAAACTATATTTAAATTTAGAAACCTTTACATGATTTTAATGAATATAGCATATTCGTCCATATCAAATTATGTGTTCTTAGATTTTCACTTAATTCTTTCATGTATTTACAGGTAGGTAGGATTCCTTCATTGTTTAGACAATCACTATCTTTTCATTACAACCTAATGTTTAATTTTGTGACTAGTGCTTTATAGAGCTACCCCAAACATTTCAACTTACCAGGGATCGAGTTGGACGCTTTGCTGCTCTTACTATCAAGGCTCCTCCTATGACAGGCTGGATATAAAAACATATATTTATAAATACTCATTGATAATGCTTGCCAACTTAAAATGTATTTTTAACAGTCCTCTTCTAAGTCAATTACTTTTAGAATACTAAAAGTAACAAAATATAAGGAAAAAAATATAAGTAGAAGTGGTCAGGACAAGTTTCTGTCATATAGTAATCAACTGAAAGGTAACATTAAGGTCACTTGGGACAGAAACACATAGGGGATAGTGGGCAGAATTCAGGTTGTGGTATATGCCAAAGATAGCCTTAGTAGTCCTGAACCAGAAACCAAGTTTGCTTATATGTATGTGAACTACCTCATGTATAACTCATTCGATTAATTCTTATCCTATTCTTCCTAATGAAATGATGCTATTCATTATAATTACTGTGTACATATCCAGATATGGAAAAAGTGGTCCAAGAGTCTAGTCTACATTGTGATTATACAAGATATACAGTCTCTTAGCTGAGACTATAGTAATTATTAAGGTAATGGTTGCTATTCATGCCTTTGTTTTTTAAAAAAAGAGGTTCCATTATTTCCTGTCAAAGAACTTTATTTCTAAGAAGTGTAAAGCTATCCCATATTATCTGAAGGTGGGCTGCACAATTCTCTTGAAATATTCCTTGTTTTATCTGTTTTAATGGTTTTGGCAAAGATCTAAGTCAAACACTAATTTTTGGAACAACAGTGTTCATGCTACATACCATATGTAGGAAGGCCAAACCTAAGGATAACTTTAAATTTATACATTTAGCACTTCATTCCATAACAAAAGCTGAGATTGCTAAGGAGTTGCGTGTGAAGGTAAGAACTATCTCAGAATATAGGCCAGGTTGCACTGGCTCACGCCTGTAATCCCAGCACTTTGGGAGGCCGAGGCAGGAGGATCACTTGAGGCCAGGAGTTCTATAGGAGCCTGAGTAACATAGTGAGACCCCCATCTCTACAAAACACAAAAATTTGCTAGCTACGGTGGTGTGGGCCTGTAGTCCCAGCTACTCGGGAGGCTTAAAAGCAAGAGGATGGCCTGAGCCCAGGAGTTCAAGGTTGCAGTGATCTATGATTGGGCCACTACACTCCAGCCTGGGTAACAGAGTAAGACCCTGTCTCTAAAGAAAAAAAGAACTACTTCAGAATATAAATAAAGTGAAAATATCTTGTGAATTCTGAACTAGAGTACTCTTCAACTAGATTATTTCTAACTAGATTACCATATGCTTCATAAAATATCTTTCAAGGTTTATGCCTAAATGAGAAGTTTTGTATTGGATTACATTTAACTGAAATTTTGGATAATTTATCCTAGGAGTTAAATGTGTTATTTTTTATAACATGAATTGTTAAACACTAAGAGACATGCATCAGTTGTCTAGATTTTGTCTGAAAATTCACTATCTTTCCCTTAATTTTCCAAGGCAATGCTTTGACATTTATAAGCCAGTGCATAATTTATCATTTATCACTTATGAGCAAGCTGGTGCATCATTTATGAGCTATGTGTCATTTATGAACCATGCATCATTTATTTGGATTTTATATGAAAATTTGCTCTTTTTCCCCTATTTTTTCCCCAAGGTAATCCTTTGACACTTATGAGACTGTGTATGTATAAAGTCAGAGGATCACTTAGAGATCATTATTTCCTCTACTGATCACTTGCCTGCCTCAAGTGGCAGCAATCTTGTCTCCTATAGCCCTCATTCCATCTGTTCTAAGCATGGGTTAAGTGGTTTCCTTGCTCCTTATTGCTACTTCCAACTATTCTTTCTCCTCTAGCTTTGGATCAAATGCCATCAGGTTCAATCACACACTATCCTTCGTGTTTGAAGTCATCTATTGACCCCCTGGCCATTTTTCTTTCCAGATGATTTTAATTCTTGTCTCTTTGACTCCCTCTCCAACACCACTTAATACTTGGTGATTTCAATAATATATATATGTATGATCCTTCTAATACCCTGGGCTCGACCTATCTTAGTTACTCACTCCCATATTCATTCTCTTGTTCTTGTTATTCATTTTAAATCTCAATTTCAAGTATCCCACCCTGACCATCACCTGCTATCTTTCTAGCTTGTGCTCTCGAGTATTAAAACTCTAACAATCTTTTGAGCCAACCTTATAGATCTATAATCTGGCATCCTCACCTCCCTGTTAAATTCTTCTCTCTGGTATCAACTTAAATTGCATGGTTAACTATTATGAATATTCCCTTATATCCACTTCTCAACTCCTTTGTACCTTTCTTGTTTTATTATAGTTACATGGTTAAATGAAAATCTTGACTAGGTGTCATTTTCATCCTACTGCATGCCTGCACCCATGCAGCTGAACGTGGTCTGAGAAAGAAACACAATCCCTTTCATTATATTACTATAATTATGTTCCTAAACCTCGAGTCCTTAAATGCTGCATGAAAAATCAAACTACTTTTCCATAATCCATGCACTTTCACATTTTTCCTAGGTGACTATTTGATATCCTCCTCTCTCTCCTCAAACTACCAATCTACTTGCCCATCTTCACTTTCACCTTAGGATCTGGCCAATTAACTGAGATATTTGAAGCTATTGGAACAAAACTTCCACAATCTCCCATCATTTTAAAACCTGCCTTTTCTCTCCCTTACTCTGCATTTCTCTCCCATTATCCTGCCTTAACACAATTTATAATCAGGCTGGATAATCTTTTCTTGAGAGGGGTTGTCCTATGCATTTTAGGCTATTTAGCGGCATCCTTAGCCTCTGCCCACTAGTCGCACACCATCAGCTGTGAAATCCCAAAATATCTCCAGACATTATGAAATGTTCTTCGAGGGGCAAAATCACCTTTAGTTGAGAACCACAGATAGAGATGACCTGTCATTCTCCTAGTTATTTGTGTACTAAAATTCATCATCTCTTGCCTACTGAAATCCTTGATTCCAATATCCTACCCCTATTTATATCATATCATCAATTTTTTTTCTTCTGGTTCAGTCCTTTAAACAAAGATATGATACTATTCATTCTAACTCACAGAAACAAACAAACCAACCCTCTTCTATCCCAAACTTCCCTGGCTATCACCTCATTTCTCTATACCACATTACAGAAAAGTGCGTAAAGGAGATGTCTGTATTTGCTGTCTCTAACTCCTCTCTTCCTAGCATTTCTTAAACCAACTCCAAGCAGGCTTTTGCCTCACCATTCTACTGAAGATACTTAAGTTTACTATTGGCCTTGATACTGCTAAGTCCAATGGTCAATTCTTAGCCCTCCTCCTATTTGACAAAACAACAAACGATAATACTGTTGATCTTTCCCCATTTTTTGAAAACAATTTCTTCACTTGGCTTCTAGGGTGCCACACTCCCCAGGTTTTCTGCCTATCTAATGGCTGTCTAGAAACCACAGAAGAGTCCCAGTAATAATAAATTTAGAAAATAAGTATTGACTCATTGTGCAAGGAGGCTAAAGTGAAGACTGTAAATATGAAGGTTAATCATGCTAATGGATATTATAGTTAAGATTCTTTGTCTTTCACATACCTAGGGACAATCTACCCTATGGATGTCATTGTGTACTTATTCCTGTGTCCATTACATTTTGGAATAGCACTTGTAAATTAAAGGTACACAATACTTATTTGTTGAAAAAAAGAATTTGACTTTGAATAAATTACCAACATAGGATTTAGTTACATAATTCTCCTGAAAACCTTGTTTATAAACTGTTTCCTACTTTCCACAATTGGCATGAATATTACTTATTAAATGATTAAATCAATATGCATTTTACTCACAAAAATTCCCCATAAAGCACATCCTGTTTTGTAAGTTATAGGTTCGTATGTTCCAAAGACTCCTTTAACTTGTCCCATATACAAAACCAATAGGAGGTACCACATGAGAAGTTCAAAGATGCCAATCATAACCTGGATAACCTGGGAGAAAAGAATGCTGTTAGTACTGAAATCATGTAATTTAAAACACAATTCCAGTAAGAGTTAACTATAAGAAACATTTAAAACCTTTACAAAAGATGAAAGAAAAATAGCAATGTACTTAATAAAGTATTGCCTGAGTTGGTTAGTCCAGAAAGAATGCTCAAACCAGGAAAGACTGAGGTTTACCAAATAGGAACCAGTCATACTTGGAGCAACAGATTTTTCAATAATAGTAGTTCTGGCCAATGCTCCCACAAAGAACTGTGGAGAAAGAAAGTTCGCAGTCTGATTCTACCACTGGCTATCCTCTTCATACATCAAGTAATGGCATGAGAGGAGAATACTGAGGGTACTTGAGAGAAAAAAATGTAGTTACTAATCTACTTCGATCCAGGAAACCATATATCCAACATTTTCTTGTACATTAGTAATTTATAAAGGATGAATCACTTTTTAAATCTTATATGGGTTTATCTTTTCCTTCAAGGACTACCTGGTATAGATTTTTTTCACAAGTAATCTGGAGTGAGGTACAACCCAATACAGTGAAAGAAAGGATAGCCAAGGTGGACTTGTTAGCACTAGGTCTTCTCACTGGATAAGGGATTAGTTAGAATTGAGGGGAATTATTGCTCAACCTTAATTTGTAAGAAGATAATGATAATCCCAGTAACTATACCCCAGTAAATTTATTTCTGAATTTATATGTGAATTGAAATTTCATATACTGAGTCACATTTTTAATTACTTTAAAAATGACAGAGGATACATTATTTTTATCTTCATATAAACTTTAATAGGAAGCTATTTAATGCTTTAAGGGTTTCAGCTCTTTGTAAATAAGGCAAGCGGTCTATGAAACATATAAATGCAATTGGCTAATTTTAAAAATACACTTTAGAGAAGATTTTTAAGAAAGACCTCGTTTTAGGTAATAATCTTATGAATTTTTATAGATTTAGAATTTGAGGTTTTCCCTGCATCAAATTTGCAGGAGTGGTTATTATTTCCAGAGGTTTTTAGAATTTGATTGGGAGAAATATCCACATTAGACTACAAAATCCTCAAGAGACTAGACTTTGGTTTTCTCACTGTTGTATCATCTGCCTCTAATATGGTACTCAGCATAGAACAGACACCCAGTAAATAACTCCTGCATAAGCATATTAGTATCAAGAATAGTAATTCCATGTGACTATCCAAATTGTGAAAAGGAGTGAGTGGGCTTGAAAAATAGTATCTCCTTTTATATCACTGGCTATTGTTCTATATAAAACTATAAAATATTCAAGTAGCCAAAACTTGTAAAAAAACTGTGTATGGAGAAGGACAAGATGGGGTTTCTTATTTAAAAATTGTTCTTAATCTAGAACCAATGAATGAGTTCCAGGAAATCAGGCTCCTCCTCTCCCCTAAAAAATGGAGTGTAAAGGATTATGAATATACATAATTTTGGGAAGAAGATTCAGAGTCTTCACTCTATGCCAAAGTGGTCTGTGACCTGAAACACTTTAAAAACCTCTGCTGAACAGTGAGTTAGAAGACTTAGACATTTAATCTACACAGCATCCAAACTCAGAGGAAAAGTTCACATCAGTGGAAAAGTTTTCTCCTCTTTAGACATGAAAAAGCGTGGTCCTCATATTTCCTTGGTGTTTATTTAGAGAGCTAGATAAACTGTAACCTTACATGTTTATAGGAAGAGACAAATTTATAATCATCCCACTACACAGACATCAGTATAGTAATTAAATCAGCAATAGATCTCTCTCAAAGTTAAAACAACACACACTCTTTTTTTCCTTATTCCTTATTTGGATTTCTCTATTACCGTGTGTATGTTGGTTTAGTACACTTAAATCTGAGCATCTATTTGTTTATGGTGGAACATGAGATGAGTCAAAATTTATAGATGCCAACAATATTAAAACAAAATAAACTTTTACCCTTTTGATTTCACTAAATTTGTCCCTCTGCAAATCCAAAATGCCCTTTTTAAAACTGGAATAGTTCATGATACTGAATGTAGTCAATCAAAGTGAAACTTTACTTACCCCTATAGTAAGAGAATCTGCCGTAGAGATTCTTGCATTCCCACATGCCATACTACTGGCATTTCCTCTGGATGATTTTGTCTTTAACCTTCGGTGTTATCTTAATTAGCAAACTTCTATAAAACAATATAAAACACATATACATGATTTTTCTCAGAAGAAAATACATAAATTTGATTCTTTCCTTAATGTTTGGCAACAACTTTCCCACAATCAGAAGCAATAGCTTTCTTCTTTCTATGCCTTAATTCTTAGAGGCATCAGTTTCCATTCACCTGTTGTGAATAACAGCCTAACTGAAAAGCCTCTCACTATGACTAAAAAATGATTGGCATGTTACAGATACCATCTCTGAAGTGAACAGTTTCTCTAGATGATAAAGTATAAAGAACACCTGGGGAATAGTATTAGAGAATTTTCAGTAAAGCTTTCAACAATTTATATGCAATTCATAATCAATTCAATGCAATTCATAATGCCATATTTCCATTTTCAAAACCAAATTCCTGTACTTAAATTCACCAAAAATGTGGGCTTGTGAGGTTTTTGTTCTGACACATATCTGCTATCTACTTCTTTCTATATGAAAAGAACCTTTTCTTAGACAACTTATCAAAGTTGCTTGTGAAATCCTAATGGCACCTCTCACCTCTTGTTTTTCTTTTCTTTTTTTTTTTTTTTCCCTTTTGATTTAATCAAATATACTATTCTCCAGATCCAAAATATCTCATTTCTCCTTGGTGTTTAGATTATCTTCATATTTATTTTAAGATAAAAACCTGGCTAATAATTATATCCCCTTGTGGACCGTACCTCTTTGTAGATCTGAAATTCTACATCTGCTAGTATGTCAATGACATGAGTCAGGCCACCTGACTGATGATCTTAAAATCTGAGGTTTGATCTTTTCAGAAAGGAGGGAGTTTGACTAAATAACCTTTCATTCCCTGCACCCTTGAAATCTCATGATTTGATTATTTTAATGAGTCTTTGGTTTCTAAAATTTATTTTATCGATGTCTCTTAATACCATAGAGCATATAAACAGAAAAAAGCTAGAAAAAATACGAGAGTTAGTGATAGAAAAAAGAGAGACAATGTTAGTAACTAAAGTAAGCTTTGCTCATTCAAACACCATATTTCAGAAATAACAGAGAAGGCATTTAGAACTGTAGAAAACCAAGATCAATCACTCTGTTATAATTCAATAAAAAGCCATACAATTATAAAATTCATATAGAGTAATGAGGAAAAGGCATACATAGATTGCTATTATTTTTTACTTTTCACAAAACAGGAAAATAAAAAGAAGCCCTTTTGTGGATACTGTCTGCTTTCTGTTTCCAGGAATTCAACCAATTGCAGACTGAAAATATTAAAAAAATGCACACATAATATGGCAAAAATACTAATTAAATAAACAATAAAAAACTATTTACATAGCATGTACATTGTGTTAAGTATTATAAGTAATCTAGAGATGATTTAAGTATATGGGAGGATGTGTGTAGATTATGTGTATATCTTATGCCATTTTATATCAGGGACTTAAGTATCCTTGGATCTTGGTATCCATGGGGTTTCTGAAACCAATTCCCAACAGATATGAAGGGACAACTGTGTAGAAAAATTCTTTTCACATTTGTAGTTATCATGAAGTGACTTGAGGAGTAGAATATTTAGCATAACTATAATCTCTATTAGGCCCACCAAAACCACCCCAAGTGAAGTACTCATAAAAAATACTAATCAGAAAGGGAAAGGGAGGGTGTGTTTAAAATCCTCAGCTTAATTTATGGAAGAAAGGAAGAAATACTCCAACATATTCTTTTAAAAAAATATCCTACATTTGGTATGCTGCTTTTTGTAAAAATCAATCAGTAAACAGAAGTAATCATTTATTTGTTTTTTTTTCTTTTTTGTTATTGTTGTTTTTGGTTTGTTTTTATTTTCTGAGGCGATCCCATCACTAATCCCAAAGCAGCTGCTGGACGAGTCCCCTAGCTCTTATTCCCAAACCCATTGTTACTCCCTTAACTTTACACAGAAATTCTCCAACAGTCACAGAAAACTCACGTCTAGAAACCACTTTTCTATCTTTAGCATTTTCAGCAGGGATGCAACCCCCTCACTGTCTTCAGAGTAAAGTCCAAATTCTTTAGTAGGATATATAAGGCCTTTTCTGAACTGCTCCATGAGCTTGTTCTCAACTTCATCCTGGCCACTCTTTGGTTTGGGGACCCATGCCATGACTCACCAGACTGGTGGATTCCCCACTCCTTGTTCTCCTAACATCCTGTGCATAATTCTTATCACAATGTATTCTAACTTTGATTTTCAGGACTGGCTCTAAAGCCAATGTTAGTTCCCAGAAGTCAAGGAATTCATTTCTGTATGTCCAGGGTCAATCCTGTGCTGGGGCAGAGAGACATTCGATGCAATCAAGAATGGGAGGATGGGTGGGTGAGACCCAGACCCTGCCAAGGGAGGGAGAAGGGAAAGAACAGGGCGGGCGGGGGGAGGGACACCATATTCAGCCTCCACGCCCCTTTATGGCTTTTGAAGAAATCACTTAAGCAAAACAACATCATTACCCTGCATTATACTTGTTCAGGGTCCCAAGGATTAAGTTCTGCTCTCTCAGGTCCAGGCTTAGGCAAAGCGGGGGTCCCCCCAGCTTAGATCTTCACGCCCGATCACCTGATCCTGCTGAGCCACCATCACAGAGGAAGCCAGGACTCTAGTGCCCCACTGGCCCTCAGGCTCCGGGGGCGGTGATGGTGTCCAACGGCAGCCGCGTCTTCCTGTGCGCCTGCGTGCTCGCTCAGGGCGGGGCTGCGGGAGAGCATACTGCGCAGACTCAGTAGGGCTCTGCCGGTCACGTGATTGGAGTCCTTTTCATTGTCTATAGACATGGCTTTTCTACATCTAGTTTCTGAGATTTTCTTGTAGGTGCGTTTCTTATACACACGCCCACTGCAGGGTGACTAGGATCACTGATGAAAAGTCAGTACTTCACCTTTTCGGACCACAAAGAAAAATTTGGGCCACACGTGCAGTTTAGATGGTCTGAATATTTGATTTCGAACTCCTGACCTTGAGCAATCCACCCGCCTCCTCGGCCTCCCAGAGTGCTGGGATTACAGGCGTGAGCCACCGCACCCGGCCTGTCTGAATATTTGAAAAAGGCAAATAGCTGAGTCAGTGGCTCACTTTTTCCCCCCTTTAAACGTAAGTAACAAAAGAAGGAAATTAATGAAAAGTAATATTTAGCAAGGCGCCAGGATGACTTTTAGATACATTTGCTGAGATAAGTTTACCTTTCAAGTTATACATGGCCTTAGTTTTCTATTTGAAGTAGACAGTGGTTCAAACAATGTTTACGAAGAGGTGTGTAAAGAAGTAAAGGTAGCAGCTAGAATCATATCTGAGAATGAGGTTGAGGAAGTGGGGAAAAAAAAAAACCTCAAGTAAACAATGTGATCTTTAACTGACGAGCACAGACCATCCTGTTAGTGCAACTATCAGGCCTTATTGAGGTGTTAAAGTATGGAGAGCAGTTACTGAATGTCATGAATACTCATTTATTCCTGTAAAATTTAAATTGCCATGTGGAAAGGTTAAATAAAATTCTGTAAATATTTAGTGAATGTTAGCCAGTGAGTAAAACATTGAAAACACAAAACTGATTTTCCTTTAAAAAATAAGGAAAATTTTATAGTGCCTCCATCACCTTTATTTGCAAAAGCCAAATTATGAGTGTGTATTAAAGCCACCAATAGCTTCTATGATTTTTTTTAAAGCCTGAAAAATCAACTACAAACTGAGCAACTTTATTTTTAGCATCACAATTTTCCTTACATTGGGACACCAAAGTCCTCTCAAATAAAAGAAAACAGATGCCCAGGTTCTTTTAAAGTCTTTACATTTTGTATTCGTCAGTATATCATTGAGGGTATTAGTTTTATTCTTGTAAATGAAAATGTAGCACTTCATTTTCTAACATTAGTATTCTTTTTGATTTACTTACCTTATTAGCAGAGAGGGCTCTGACATTAAGCATTCTATGTGCTATAGAAAGAGAAACTCACGTCAGTGTGTTTTCAACCTCAAGGTTATAAATTTAGGAGAATCAAAGTAGAAAGAGCCAGTTGTGATGAGATGGACCCTTATTGTAACTTGCTGCCAAGACCAGTTGATTGTGAAGGAAGCGATTTATCTTTTCATTTAAGGTATAGTTAACCGTCTCTGGAAATTATCTTGGATTTGACATTTTCTTGAACAGGGACCAGATTCTGAATACAGTATAAACATAGGCAAGAATAGAAGAGTTAGCCAAAATATGAGACAGGCACAGATCCTTGGCAATTCTTAATTCCTCTGATAATATCACTGATCAGTAAATCAACATTGATTTTTCTCTGATGTCTACATCCTATCTGGAAATTCAGAATTCACTTCATTTTAATTTTTTTCTTTGGTTGTTAAAAATTCTGTAGCTTCTAACAATGAAAAGGCAACCAACCAATCATGGTTTGACATCCAACACGACTTACTTTTTAATCTTTGTCATCTTAAATATTTCTCCATGTTGTTAATTTCCCTTGAATTGGTTCCCAGGGTACAAAAGATGTTAAGAGAAAATGTGCTGGAACCAATGTGCCTCATATAATGTTGTTAAAACCATTGGAATTGTGTTTTAAATTACATGATTTCAGTACTAATAGCATTCTTTTCTCCCAGAGACCTTGTTGTCTGTAAGCCCTGATAAAATAACTTTTCCAAATTGCTATAAGGAGTTTCCTTTTACACAGGAGAAAACAATTAGAACACCAGGGTGTTCTAATAATAAAAATAAAAATAAATCTATGTGGACTGTGGAAACTAAGCAATGGAGTTCATTGTAGAAATGCAATATGTGTATATATATATATATAAAGTATAATCTATATGCATATATGTATACACATAGATGTATGCAAATATACATATGCAGATTTCAGTTCTCATATAGTTACCATATCACTTAAATATTATTCTTTAATAAAATGCTGATTAATAGTTTAAAATTATTTATTTTTTTTTTTTGCGTTTACTATACCAAGGTGGTATGTTCAGTGTCTTACATTGTTTATTTTATTTAAAATTCACAACATTGCTATGATTGTTATTTTCATTTTAACAGATGAGAATATGGAGGCTTAAGGAAATTAAGGGTCTTGTCCATGGTCACATAGCTTATGAATATTAGAGTTGAGATTCTGACTCCAGTAATGTAAATCTAGTTCCAGAATCTGTACCCTGTCCCCTCATTTTTATTCTCTAAGTCTCCTTCTGTAAGGGCTCTGCTTTGTGACTGTCCTGGAATTGCGTAAAGAACACTGTTAAAGAAATCACAAGGTCTAGGGATGGTTCCCAGCTCCAGTTCTGGCTGTGTGTACTCCACTGTACTACTCTTTGACTTCATTTCTCACCTGTAAAATTAGGGTCTTTAACTAGGCATTGTGGCGTTGTTTCAAGTGGCGTTGGTCAAAAAGTCCATACTATATTCACAAGTGTTACTAAATACTTGGGAGAGTTGGAAGAGTTGTGAAATATAAAGTCAAATTGTGAATAAGGTTTAAACTGGGTAGAGACCCCTAGGGAGCATGTGTGGTGAAAAAGATTGAATGACACTCCTTGAGCACTGCTGAGCTGATAGAATTGAGTAAACAGCTACTGGTTTTTAAGAGTGAAGCTAGGTAACTGAGGAGTGGAGATGAGGAGAGTTAGGAAAGAAGAGCAAACAGTTAAACGTTATAAACTACCTTAGAGAAAATAGCCCAGAGAGAGGATGACTTTGTTTTAAATGCAAAATGAAGGCAGAAGGACAAAATTCAGCCAGTTTTTAAAAATCACTGATACACACACACACACACACACACACATATACGCACACACAAGTCCTCTCCAAGCTGTGGGAATGGGCAGGACACATTAGCTGTATGGCTAGATTTGCCTGTTTTGCATTCGTATTTGCTAAAGAATGACCTCAGTTCTCTGCAACCATCTCCCCAAAACCAAGTATTTCTTGGGCTTCCCCAGAATTTTCACATGTGTTCTGCAGCAGGCCTCTGCTGAGCTTTTGCTGTAGGGCGGTGGGCAGCTGCTTTGCATCTATTTCATACTCTTCTCAGGCTGTGCTGCGGCTTCTCCAGAGCAAGGCTGCCTTGCCCCAGGTGCTTTTCCCAGCGCCCCCAAGCTCCAGAGCTTTGGAGGTATTCAAATAGCTTGGCACTTTCTTCACTCTTCCTTATGGAGCACAAATGCACAAATGAGGACCACACCCTTTTATCCAGAGGCATCAGACCTGGTCATTGAGGCCAGTCAGACACCTGGACTCCATTTCCCGGTCCGTCAGCTTCAACTTCAGATACCCAAACTCAAAATTTCCACAGGATCTTTTCCTTGATCACTTCTCTATGTAGATGTCTAGGGACCCTCTGCACCCTATTCCTGGTCATTCAGCATCTACTCCATGGGAAAAGGGGACAATTATGATTGATTGATTGATTGTTAAAGGTGTATAACAAATGCAAACTTGTTCTGGGAAAGAGAGCTTTCAGAAATGTTGTGTTGGACAGGAATGAATCAATGATATGTGTATACCTAAGATACACTGATGGATTCTGGAGAGATAACTAACTCTTGAACCCATACATTCCATGATGAATTACTGACCTTCTCTAAAGCCTCAGAATTTAGAATTAGGAGACAATGTAGAACCCTAGAGATCTAATACTTACCTGTGTTCTTCTGAGGAGGGAAGAGATTAAGTATACGATACACTTGGGTTTTGTGTGCGTGTGCGTGTGTGTGTGTGTGTGCACGTGTGTAGCTTTAAGTCAATATTTCTTAGGCAAAGTCTTTGTACTCAAATCCATCATTAATTACTTGTGCATGAAACATGTGTGCATTGGCATTTAGATAATTCCCACTCCATTCCATTTTATATTACCCGAAATGAAAAATTTTGTAAAGCCTAAATTTTATGCAATAGCTTAGCATGGTGTTTGGCGACAAAGTAGTAGTGCAATACTTTTCTTTTAAACAAATAAATAAGTAAATGAGTACTTTTTTTAGATTTACAGAATCAAAATACCATAAGGACTTTAAATAGTAATACATTAGTAGTAGGCATGTGACCTGTAAGCTAGAATATAATATTTCTACTCTAGTCACCTTTTTAGGTCTCAGAATACAGGTGTATTTTTAGAAAGCTTAGAAGACATAAACTTTAAAATCAAACTGATTTTATTTTTCACTGGAAGTTGAACACTCAGATCATATAAGCTTCCAACGAACAGAATTTTTGACTGTTTTTCTCAAGCACACATAACACTGTCCTGTACGGAGTAGGCACTCTATAAATATTTGTTGAATGAATAGCATTCCTAGTTGAATAAAACCACGATTGCATTGGTTCAAATGAATCCATTATGTAAGAATTTTATGCTTGCAGTTTTGTTTAAATGGCTAAAATTTTTTCATACTCTAAAGATCCTCAAATAAAAATTTTAGATAGTTGAAACCAACTGTCTTAGCATCATTTGACTATCCAGTAAAAAGACAAGTTAGGGAGGGAAGCAATTGATACTCTAGATAGTTAGGGGCTCCCAGGTGAGATTAAAAGGTAACAGTAACTTTCAGGAAGAAAAAGTTGAAAGTAGGCAGTTGACCCTTCAACAATGTAGGGCTAAGGGGCACCACACCCCTAACCCTAGATGTAATCAAATTAGATACCTATTAGATATTAATAGATACTTTCTCTGCATCC